AGGTGGATGATTTTGATGTGGTTGTGTTCTCTGCGCTGGATAGTTAATTTGCGAACCAAAAGGCCCCAAGGAAAGCACAAAGAAAATCGCCTTACCATATATAAAGGATATCTCAGAAATCACTACAAAACTCTAAAAACCTTTAGGAATCGACGTCGTACACAAGCCAACAAAGTCACTTCACTCAATTCTATGTCAACCAAAAGACTCAACAGCGAAAGAAGATAAAACCAACATCATCTACAAAATAAATTGTAACAACTGCGAAAAACACTACATTGGCTAAAGTGCACGTCCCCTTCGTCTTCGTATCCACGAACATAAGCTAGCCGTCAAAAGACATGATATCCACTCCCTCATATCACCACACTGTATACAGACAACCACGGATATCAATTCGACTGGGACAACGTTCAAATATTAGACAGAGGAAACAACAAGAATGCTAGAGAATTTTTAGAAGCTTGGCTGGTATTCCAGTGAATCATCAATCAATAGACACATCGAGACAGACAAAATTTATCAACCGATAAGAAAGAAACCTCACACACAAAGGGTCAAAGTTCAAGTCAAAGAGACAATCAGTTCCAATATAAGTAGCCGCCTAAAGGGTGTGAAAATACACAAAAACAACCGATCACGTCCAAGGTCACCAGGAGAGATGATTAATAAACTCGTGGAGAAATCTAAAAGCTCACTTCAAATTAAAGTATGAGCTGCATATGTCGCCTAGTAGGGCGATGAAAGCTTCGCAAATTAACTATCCAGCTCAGAGAACACAACCACGTCCAAAATAACATTATATATATATATATATATATATTGTATATATATTTATGTTTATTCCTTTATGTTTCCAGTGGAACATAGACTAGCTTCAAGCTACAGGCTCGAAGTTTCAGTAGCAGTGGTGTTTATTTTTACAAGATGGGGTTGGTAGCCTCATGCCTAACCTCCCCTCTTTACCATTCTTATTACTTGCTTAGCAAGGTTTGTGAGTGAGCGAGGCTGGGGATCGAACCCCGGACCACATGAGGAGGCGTGGTTGGCGAGCATTCTACCGTTGTATTACTGGCGCACGCACACATAATATAATATCGGACTGAAATATAAGTAATTGATGTATAAATGTATTACACCAGAATCATCGTCATCATTCTTTTTCCAGCCGCTTGTCAATACCAAAGGTCAGTTTAACTTGAAGATCATCTTTGATCCAATCCCTCTTATATCACTAAACAAACAATACGACCATGTGATTATGAATAAATAATTAAAATTAGGCATTTTTATTTTTTTAAGCGTTTGTTTTGAGTCCGAGAAAATTCACATATTCTAATAATCGTAATCATAATAATAATAATGAATGTTATTCACTAATTGTCGATATTAATTCGTTTATATAACTTGAAGTCAACATTTAGAATAAAAACAATAATAATAATAATAATGCGTAATTAAGCACGACGATGAAAGAAACGTGAGCAGAGAGACAGACACAGGGAGAGAGATATAACAAAGTGCGGTAAATAAAAATGTTGAAGAACTCAAAGTTTATAAAAACGAACCGAGATGAATCTATGATTGTTTATTATTATTTTTTTCGAAATTAAAGTATTACACACTTGAATTCACTAATCGCTCCAATGATTCAGTCTACACGTAGAATGGTGGAAGATCAAGAACATAGAGTGTATGAAAAAAACAAACGACGAAGGGATTTTATAGATGACAGGAGGGAGGGTGGTTTTAAAATTAATGTTTTCACATAAAGCGAAGGTTACGCATAGAATATTGCTACGGAGCAAGCAGTCGACTGAGAAACGATGTGTTTGATGTCCGAGACTGACATGGAGAAAATAATGTGCAGAGGAAACGGAAACTTGAGGATAGTCGCGAGGTGAATTAAAAGTGATGGCGTAACCAGAGGAGACAGAAAACTTGCAATTCGATGCACACATGTAAGAAAATTATGTTTGCCTTATATTAAAATCGTCATTTGCGCAGACCTTCTGGGTTATGTCACTTATGCCCTTCGTATTGTGATTCTTTGTCTTCTTTTTGTGTCTTCTGTGTGTTTGCCGTAGTGCTGGTTTATTTCCCCTTCTTCACTTCAAATCTATTTCTCTACTATTTGATATTTATGTGTACCAATTAATGTCTCTTTATATACTACTTATAAATCTTGTCAGTAGCTCACGCCATAATAGTATAGAACTGCATGCAGTAGAAATGTATCGCAATGGCCTTATGTTTCACTCAGAACTCAAGGGATGAATAACATTAATAATAATTATTTTACATGACTTTACAGAATGTTCAGTGATTTACAGACATGGTGAGCAGTCCTTAGGCGTAATCTAGTTGAGTAGAATTTGTCAAATATTGCCTCTTGGAGTAAAAGATAACCTGCCTGATTTCGCCTCTTCTATGTGCATCTACCATTTTGACTGTTCCTGTGTAGCCAGTTATATAGGCAGTACAATAAGGCGTGTTTATCCTTGGATTTCCGAACATCATCCCGCGTGGTCAAGTAAAAGACAAACAAAGTCCATTCATAGCTCTCTCTCCCTATTCTATCTCATCTCATGGATACAGAACACAAGATTGATGTTAACGAGGCAGCTTTTAAATTGATTTTATCTTTCGATAATCAGTTTAGATGAGCTGATTAGAAGTACGTTACTTAGAACAGATCTTCTTTATACACGGCCACGAACCGCATTTATTTTATGAGCACTGGTGATACTCTCTAGTTGCTATCTTGGGTGACTGACCGGTACCAACATAGAACTTTACACATAAGTGCGGCAGTTCGAGTTGTCACACTCCATGAAGCAAACAAAGGAAGGCAGAAGAGAAAAAAAGGAGACTAGTAAAGTGGAAAAACAATAGGGCGTTTTTGGATATTGCAGTTCACAGAAAATGAATACGTTTGCGCCATTGAGAACAATTATGAGCTAATATCACTAACTGTATGCAGCCGTTGATTTATAGCATCCCAAGGACCGTAATTAGATGGTCTACATCTCCCTACGTTTCTTAAATTAACAGAGCTATAGGTACTGGTGCCATGTTGTGATTTAACTACTACTAGTTATTTCCCAACTTAATCCTATGTCAGTTAACATTGCCCGTCGAGGTAGGCGATGGCTAGGCATGCTCAACACATGTTCTAGCCATTTCAATCGACGTAGCTTCTCAACCTCATCGATAGATTCTGCCTCTTTATCTAGCACTCTACGCCTCACCTCAGAATTACTCATCATACAATACCACTTAATACGGCAGACAGAACACAAGTATATGTGGTCAAGAACAACTAGCCTCTCCACATCTTCCACTTTCAGTGATCATGTGTCACAGCCATAAAGGAGGATGGAGCGAACTGCTACTCATTACACACGTTCTTCGATCAATATCTTGATATAACGTCTACGCCAGAGGTGATACAGGTTGGTAAATGCAACACAAGCCTTTTGTATCCGTGCTGAGATTTTGTCAGAAATCAGTTCGTTGGGGCTGGTGCAACTTCTTGAATAAGTAACATGGTTGTACAACTTATTTTTAAACTAGGGATCTATGTAGTCCAATCCTGTAGCATCACCTTACATTTGACAGGAACGAGTCGTATGCCGAACATTTGAAGATTACTGCTCAAGATGTTCAGGAGACAGAGCGTTTTATCAGCGTCTTCACCTAGGACGATTTTATTATCCGCATATTCCAATTCAACAAGACTGGTTGCGTAGATTGGAGTTCGTGAAAACAGGGTATTAACGCTTTAGATAAACTCATCAGTTAAGTTTTTAATAATAATAATATTAACAGCTTTGTTTAGGGACTTAAAAAAATGTATCTCTTATTTAGTCAATGATAATCTTAATTATTGTTTAGTTGGTGAACGTTAAGGTTGGGGGTGGTTGGATTTAGTGATTTCGAGTCGGCTTTCGTCAGGAATTAATTGTTTTATTGAGAATAGTCGCATACAGTTGGTTATCTTGTCATTCAACTATGATGTTGATCCCATTGTTCTAATTTAGTTGCATTAATTAAATATTAAAATAAACAAAATTCGAGCGGATATGAAGAAATATTATTCACTGTTTTCTCTTTTCTTATTCTTGATTGATTAACTTATAACAGCTGGTAAATAGTGGTGATCAAACCAAAAATCGATTATGTACAACATATCTTCTGGTTTTCAAGTATTGGTTTTGTAGGGATATTTTTGTTTGATTGAATGGAGGATTTCATCATGAGCTGACATCAGTTAGAGAACAACTGGAAAACCTGCCAGGGAGTACTGGACAGCTGTTTCGTCCTAGTTTGGGACTCTTTATCAGTATGCACCCACCGGGGTTCGAACCCAGGACTGGGTCCTAGTGGCTCAATGATCAACGAGCTCGCCTTGTAACCGGAAGGTCCTGGATTCGAACCGGGGCGACGGGTGTGTACTGATGAAGAGTTCCAAACTAGGACGAAACATCTGTCCTATATCTTCTTAGCTTAACGGGAGGCATCATCGAACCACATCACAATGTAAGCTGAGTGTGAAGGCAGTGAATAAAGGTCACTATTAGCTGACTGATGGCGAAATCAACTGATTCCATGTTGTTATCTTAAGTTGTCTTTCTTGGTAGTTTTTTTTTCGTCAACTGAAGTATGTTTTAGGAGATTATTCAACAAGAATAATAACCCTCTCTCCCTGTCGACCAGATCTTTTAGATAACGAGGTAAGCACAGCATTAATCAGCTGATGGATGGAAATCATATAATTCATGAATTCCAACTTCCTCCCGTTCACATATACCTTTATCACCATCCGCTGTCATTATCATTCACCTTGGTGGTTCTAATCGGTAAATGCTTCTCCTAGGAACTCCACGAGTCGCACCCTACAGTCATTGACGAGTGTGAAAACATAAACAGTAGGAACAAATGTTACCGTAATAAGAACAGTTAATCGATAATAATATTTAGTTAGACTAAAAACTTACAGACCAATTACTGAATTTGGCAAATACTTTTGAACGAGCAATATCTGGTCGATTCCAAGCCATAGTAAGTGACAATTGTTCAGCTGGTGTTAAATTTTGACCCGAAACTACAAAGATATTAATAAAAGAACACAGATATAACATTTTAACATTTTCAAAAGTTCACAAAGCATTGAAGAATATTAATTTTTCTTCATTCTTTGTTTTCCCAGTAGAATGAATCGAAATCTCTAAAACAAAAAAGGGTTTTCAATGAGAAAATGGCTGCCTGAACATTTGATCACAGAATCCATGAAGGTCAAGCCACCTAAACTGAACGGAATTTCCATCTTGAAGAAATGACGCTCTATCTGAGTTGGTAATTCAATGGAAATCAATCAGCAGAAATACTTAGAAAGCGTTTGTCATATTCACAGCTGGACTTCGACTCACTGCTTCTACAAAACTCACAAATAAACCTGTAAAATACGTTGCTGTTGCTGGCCTTGACAGTGTGCATCTGTCAGTTCACCTGCTCCAAGCAGACCTGTCCTTTATGTTCACCAACCGAGATTATTATCAGACATTTAGCATAATGGTTTTATAGAGGGAAAACCGGCCTCCCCCTCCCCTACAGCTCTTTTCCAGATAGCAGGTGAACATCCAAACAAATATCAGAATCATCTACTGACTACGTGTTAGAATCAAAATTCTTCAAACCGCAAAAGCCAAGGCAGTCTATACTGTAAATTCTGTATACAGACATTTGTTCAGACGCTGGGCTTATAATAAACCTGATTTGTTTTACACCTTTTAGTCAATTTTATTTTGTCTGCCTTTGCACGAATACACTTCTGCCTCATTATGACATTGATCTTCACCTTTTATTCAATTTATGTTCAAATCTATTCAATCCAGTAAATTATGTCACGTCATTCAATCTATTTGAACTTAATTTTAATTTCTGCCTGATTAGTGTTATTGCATTGTGTAATTTAAAAATCTCATGATTTTTATCTAAAACTCGAAATTTTAACGATACATCCTTTGGAAACAGTCGTTTTGTTGCTATAAGGTTTGGCGTGAGACTGGCAATCTTACCCTGTAAAAATAAAACGCTGACTGTTACCGAAACTTCAAAGCTCTAGCTTGTAACCCTGTGTTCTCCTGGGAACACAGAGTGGCAACTCTTCGCTTGATGTCCGCTAATTCTTACTGTTTACACCTACATCATTAGAAGCGCCAGATGAATGGGTTCATCAAACGGAGAACTAAGACTCGGATAATGTTTGGCAATCGGCAGTTGTACATAAAAAAAATATATATATATATATATACTGTAGTCAATTAGCTCACATATATTAGATCAGGCCCAAGCGGCTTAATGGTATACGAGCTCACTGGCTTTGTCACCAGAAGGTCGTGGGTTCGAATCCCGGTGAGTGCGTGCTGATGAAGAGTTCCAAACTAGGATGAAATAGCTGTCCAGTACTCCTGGCAGGTTTCCCAATGGTTCTCCAACTAATGTCAGCTCATGATGAAATCTTGAAACCAATCAAATCCCTACAAACCAACACTTGAATATCACATATATGTGTTCTACGAGTATGATGTGGAATTGAAAAACATTTTGGTGTCAAGACAAGTAATTTTACTCCGGTTTAACTACCTGTGTTGATTACAGTGAAATGATGCGAAGCAGGAGGGTCTCATACCTCCATTAATTGTTCAGAAGCCTTAGGTTCGAGTCCTACCACGTTTTCGATTTTCATTTCACCTTCTATCATCCACCAACCACTACATCTTATATGGTCTTGTTAACACTTATTTTGAACATTCAACAAGTAAATAATACTACTACTTAAATCAAACCTAATTCAGTAAGACATACACAATTATATTGCAGAGAGTTAAAATGATGAAATATTATAATATAAAAACGAAGGAAAAATTAGCAAAGATGTGTACAAATATATGCAAAGTGTGTCTGTTCAGTGCTAAACGTCACACATGAAGTAACATATAATCTAAAAATAAAGTCAAGAAAGATTAAAGTAGGCGCGAAAAAGACAGTGGTAAAAATGACAACAATTATTAATAACAACAACAAAAATAAAATCAAAGGGTATACACTTGAAAAAGTAAATAAATACAAAACAAATCAAATCAAAGTAATTTAATTTAGTGCAAAGAACAGAAATAAAGAAAATTAGCTAGTGGAATCATAAAGTAATTGTGGTATTTGCTAAATTTAAAATGTGAAGCTAAATCACAAGAGAAACTGAAATCGGAGTTCTATAGAACACATCTGTTTTATTCGAGGTCACTATCTAGGCTGACATCTGCGCTATTGTTATTACTGTCTTCCTTAATTCCTAGAGGAACATAGGGCTTCAGTCGCACGTCTCCATTGCGTTCGGTACTCTGCTAACGTTTACACCTGGCTCCACGTCTGCTCACATGCTTTCATCTCCTCTTTGAATCACCTCCTCCTCTATGTCACCCTTGCACTGACGACCGACCCACCGCTTCCTGTTTGGGTTCCATTTGAGTGATGGCCTGACATGTGATGTCACTTGATGGTTTGCTTTCTCAGAGTATGGCCAATCTACCTCCATTTCTTCTTGCATATTTGTTTCACAACTGCTTCCTGCTCGGATGATTCGCTCTCAGAGATCTCTGTTGCTGATCTTTTGTAAGCATCTGGTCTTGATTCGTATTGAGCGAAGATAGCTGTTGATGAAGATCTCTAGTTTGTTCGAAGCGCCCTTCGTGACGCTCTGGTCAAGTCTCTGATCCGTATAGTAGCACTGACTTCACATTGAAGTTGAAAATCTGGATCTTATTTTTCATTCTGAGCGCTCTTCGGTAGGTTTTAATTTCACTTAGACTATCATGTACTTCATCTACCATCTGCTTACCAAAAATGTGGATTTCATGATGTCACACTGACTTTTCAATCAAATATGACTATCACATTTCTCACTTTACTCTTCCAGAAGTGAAGAATTGATATGTATCCACATGATGTGTATTTTGTTTTTGACAGTCTATTATATTTTGCTATGTGTATATGGATCGATATTCCATTATAACTGACATGATGCTTTTGTCTGTCCACTAACTAAATAAACAATATATGACCTTATTATCACATGACATTACAACCAATCATGGTAAGACGTTATCTTATTGGTTAATGTGTACTAGCCATTTTCATATATACTCTTGCTTTATTATTCTTGTTGACACACACTTTTTTGTACACTCGTACCATTTCACTCACACTCTTGTGTGACATTTATTTTCCTTGTCTGGAAAATACAAATATCATCTTAAACCTGGTGGTCTTCTGATTTCCCTCTTTCCACGTCAGGACTATTAACTACTCGACGAGTACATAACATAATTGGCGACGGGGAAAACTCTAATAACTCACTCAGCAGGAGTACATAACAAGAATAAACTACGTATTTTAGCTAAAAATATCTGACGATAGTTATCCAAGTTCATTTTTTTATTGTAGCTTGACTTCACACAGTATTTTTGATACATGTATGGAATTCAAGTGATGGTTTGTAGGGATTTGATTGGTTTCAGGATTTCATCATGAGCTGACATTAGTTAGAGAACCATTGGGAAACCTTCCAGGAGTACTGGACAGCTGTTTCGTCCTAGTTTTGGACTCTTCATCAGTACGCACTCACCGGGATTCGAACCCACGACCTTCCGGTTACAAGGCAAGCTCGTATACCATCAAGCCACTAGGACTCGATCCAATGGTGTGACGACAAATACTCGCCGAAGACATTGGCTAGCGGTTGCGCTATGTCGTGAATTGGCAGAAATTAGAATTCAAGGACCATTAGATCGAGTCCCAGTGGCTTGATGGTATACGAGCTTGCCTTGTAACCGGAAGGTCGTGGGTTCGAATCCCGGTGAGTGCGTACTGATGAAGAGTCCAAAACTAGGACGAAACAGCTGTCCAGTACTCCTGGAAGGTTTCCCAATGGTTCTCTAACTAATGTCAGCTCATGATGAAATCCTGAAACATGTATAGAATTTTCAGCATGTGATTTCGATAGCCAAAATTCAGCAGGCCGACCATTGGTATCAGGTATACGTCGGCCGGGGATCGAACCCTGGACCACTTGCATGGTCGGCGAGCATCCTATCCACTATGCCACCGACGCATATTTTCTCGTGTTAGGTGATATAATATGGTCAGTAATAATAAACTTAGACACGTAGAGTGAAAAGTCAGTCACTGAGGCTGAGATGCAGTGTCGACTAAGATACGCGTGGCGTATGTTACGTATATCGAGCAATGTATGAGCTAGTTTGAGCCACATAAGCAGGTAAAGACCACCTGGCTTGGCTTCTAGAAAGGCTAAGAATCAGTAGCTGGTGAGAAATACACATATATGACTTTAGTTCTCTTTAGTGTCGGAGAAGTCGTATCTAGTGTATACTTCGCATAGTTTTATAGCTCATGTTTTTTATATGGGTGAGAAAATATTTTAACTCGAAATTTTCGGTCACATGTGAATACAATTTGTAGGTGTCTTTGAATGAATTACTCTAATATCTCAAGTCAGTCTATGACAATAAATTCACATACGAATACACTTTAAAGTGTTTAACAGCTGATCATGGGCAAAGAAGCATCTTTGAATAGACACTTGAATAGACAGAAGATTTTGGGTACTTCAGCATTGGTATAGTCTACAAATGGTAATTTGGCCGACAACGACCCACCCCCTACTTACAGCACATTGCAGAACATTGCAGTGTAGATTATGTACGAGGTTTCTTTTCCCTCCAATAGGTACCAAACTGTACGTTAAGTGGTTTAGCGATTTCAGTATATCCAGTAAACGCCACAAACATGCTGCAGTTTTATAGACTTCCGGAAGACTACAGAAACGAGCAATGGTTATCGGTAACACACAAGGACCACTTTCGACTTCTGATATCCCGCGTAGTTTACTAACCGGTAGTAAGCATAAAAAGATCGGTCGGTTTATCGAGAATAAATCATTAGAGATACAATCGTTAGAGTATAATTCATAATTCAAAAGATTCCAAGTGACTATAATGGCTATAATTGAAACTACATTTTATTGCATAGTCGAGTGAGATCTAGACAACAGTCGTAGGTTCGAATCCCTCGACTTAAATTTATGTGAACAGTGCCGTGAGACAACCAGCTATACAGGCAAGGGATATTTTTAAATACAAAACAAGTGCTGCAAGTGAAAATTAGTTAACAAAAGTCCAGCTGTATAAGGTAGCTTAGAATCAACGGGAATGTTCTCGACGAGATGGAATCAAAAGCTCTGTCCAGAAGAATCACACGCCAAGGCTTCCTGCAGACAGTCAGTCCCGGGCCATAATGACCTTTATTCACTTCAAATATACACGTATCGTAAGCAAAACACATTGTTGATATGCACACAGTCACATAAAGAATTCTTTAAATATTCCCATTAATAATATAAGAACAAGACATATAAACGAACAATTCGATCTTCTTCAGGCTTTACTCTAATTTACAGATTTACATATAAAAGTTGCGTCGATGGCATAGCGGTTAGGACGCCCGTCGACCATGCACATGGTTCGGGGTTCGATCCCCGGCCACTGGACCCACTCCTATACCTTGCTAAGCCAGAAATAATGCTGGTAAAGAGGAAAGGTTGGGCATGAGGCTAGCAACCCTTCCTGTAAAATAAACGCTGCTACAGAAACTTCAAGCCACTAGCTTGAAGCCATATGTTCCCCTTGGGAATGTGAAGGAAATGGAATGAATGAACATATAAAAATTTTAACCAATGACGGTGGTTTGGTGGACCAGATAATAATGATAATAATAATGTGGTAAATAAGTTACCAGAGGGTAGATGTTACGAACTTCCTGGAATAATTTGAGCACTGAGTCAGATTGATTTATTATAAATGATTTAAACTAATCCCAGAGTGTTAAAGAAAAAATCAAAACAAGATTTTTCTGAACATTTCGCTGTGTAAGCCACAGCTTCTTCAGCAGAATTATTCGGATTTTATTAATCATCAAATATATAGGTCACTTGTCCGTAGACATTTGTACCAATAGAAATATGAAAGCAGTCATCATATATTTGTAATGACTAATGTCAAATTTTTCTTGTGTGTATTTTTCTGTATTAGTGTGTGTGTGTGAGTTTGTGTTATTTGTTATATGGGAAACACGTTACTTCACATGTGATACACATGATAATACAACTTTTAAAAGGTCATGGAGGCTCATAGAGATTTTTTTTCATGTCTTGATTCATTAGAGTTTCCCACATAGGTGATAAGTCTATCCTTCTTTCCTATTCACTGCATTCAATGTGGTTAAAATGTGCAAGGCTTCAGAGGTCAACCTTCGTTTGTGTGAATGAAAGCCTTTTCCTAGAATTCCGACATTGTCGAAATCAATCTCATGTCCGCTGTCTATCGCATGCATCGCTATAGCCGATCTTTTCTCTAGCCGTTTTAATTCTACTTCATTTCTAGGTGGACGTTTCGTGCATAGTCCATATTCATTCACTCTGACCTTCACCTGCCCACTGCTCTCCCCTATGTATAGCATGCATCACATTCTGAACACTTTATCTTGTAGACGCAATTACTTTGTGACCTTTAAGGAACCTTATCTTTGACATTCACCAAAGCTTCCTATAGATAATTAGAGGGCCTGAAATAGACTTTAATGTTATATGAAGCAAATAGTCTTTGAAGTTGTTCAGCTGTATGCTTTCGATAGGGAATGGCCATCGTCGATAGCCAAGTTTTTTCAATTTTCTCTTTCCCCTTATGCTCCTTCTTTATTGATAATAATATCTGCTGAAAAAGCTTTGGCTTACACAGCAAAATGTTCAGAAAAATCTTGTTTTGATTTTTTTCTTAAACACACTGGGATTAATTTAAATAATTTATAATGTGGTAAATGCTTTGAGTGTCATTAATAATGATGATTATAATGGTAACAAAATAATGATAATAAGGTTCATGCAGGTGGTGATAAGAATAACGAAGGTAATAATATGTGTGTATACAGACAATTCAATTAATAAATTAGGTGAAATCCTAAAAAATTACATAATGCTAAACGTGAAGTAGATAGATAATCAGAGTTTAAATAAATTTCATAAAGTACAAAGGAGATGGAAAAAAAGAAAGGGTGGGAGTGTTTTGAATAGAATTCACCTAGGCGAAGCAAGGGACAAGAGAACAAACTTCTTTTGTATGCAGAAAGACACTAGGATTGTTCTGTCGAATTCTCATAGTTTTGGTAATGTGTAAAAGGCGGAGGATATTCTGAATTTTCATATCCAACAGATGTCTAAGATGGCAAAGAGAGCTATTTTTTATTTTGTAATGCACAATACTTCTTAAAGGATTACAGTTTAATGTCAAGGGTTGGTGGATAAATGAAGGGGCTTGTTCAAATAAACTATTCAGAAACAAAAGAACAACACGATACAGGGTACAGTAGATAGGCATGCTACAGACTACTGACTGACCCATATAAGTAGCTGGATACTACTGATATCAACCAGTAGTCATTGGTAGCTGGATTTTCGAAGTAATTAGAGTCAAACTAATCAGTGACAATGCTGCATGCCAAGTAATCCAAAACGGGAAACTTACGGAAGCCTTCGAAGTGAGGACGGGAGTGAGACAAGTTTGGACGGCTGCCTAGTATCTCCAATGATTTTCCTGATTGCACTAAATTGGATATTGAGACAGACAACGGGCAATGAGGAAACACGCATAAAATGGACTCACACAAAATGAGACTTGGAGGACCTAGACTTCGCCGATGATGATGTATGTCTGATTTCCCACAAACTGGAAGGTATGCAAGTGAAAAGCTACAAGTTGGCGATAGAAGAAGCATCAAAGATAGGTCTTCACTTCAGGTGAACATAGAGGAAACAGAGGTGATGAAGATTCCCGGCTAACAGCAATAGCAGCAACAACAACAGACAACAATCAGCCAGCGTAAATGGGAGGAACCTGAAAGAAACAACCTCCCATACCTACCTACCTACCTACCTACCTACCTACCTACCGGGGAAGCATCGTTTCAACTACAGGCGGACGAAACTGACGAGGATATCAAAGCCAGAATCGGAAAAGCAAGACAAGCTTTCATTACTCTCAACTCTGTTTGGAGGTCAACAGCCCCACTCTGCATCAAAAATAACATCCGGATTTTCAACTCCAATGTGAATTCAGTCAGTGCTACTATACGGATCAGAGACTTGGCCAGCGCGACATAAAAGCCCCTCAAACAAAATACAGACTTTCCTCAACAGTTGTCTTTGCTCAATACTTAAAATCAGATGGCCAGAATAGATAAGCAACAGGGATCTCTAGCAATGAGCGAACCAACACAGCAGGAACCGATTGTGCAGCGAATAGGCAGGAACAAACGGAGATGGATTGGAGGCCATACGCTGGAGAAACCATAAAGTGAGTGACATCACTAGACAAGCCATCGCTCGAGTGGAACCCGAAAGGGAAGCGGCGAGTTGGTCGTCACTACCAAGGTGACTTGGAGGACGTCATGTGAAGGGGAGATGAAAGCATGTAGGCAGACATGGAGCGGGGTGAAAAAGTTGGCAGAGAACCGAAGGCAATGGAGACGCGCAGCTGAAGCCCTGTGTTCCTCTTGGAATTGAAGGATATAATAATAATAATAAATAAATAAATAATCAGTGATATATTCGTCTTGATTGAGCTCAGGCAGCTGGATCATTTCTGGCTAGCTACCCGGGTGAACCCGTCATACATTGGATTGGACTTAGAATTTGAAATTCACGCATTTTGAGGTTGGCTATTAACCTGTTAGGCAGCAGGTGTACTTCATTCGAACTAATCAACAGTAGAAGGAATAAAAATACTCCTGAAAACACAAAAATACACACACACACACACACAAGTGAACACAATCTCAATCTTACCTTGTAAAAGAGCTGTTAGTATTGTGATATCAATCTCATCACTATCCCCTTCACCCATTCGAAATACACTAATCTATAATTTAGTTTCAAGTAAAAAAAAGAGATGAAAATGCAAAAGAAATAGAAAATATGCAATAAAATATGGTGGAAAAATAAATCTGGCAATAGTAAAGAATTAAAAAAAGCGAAAGTCAAACTACCTTGAGCTCTAACCAATCAGATCGCTTAGAATTACAAATGGATGCTCTACAATAATCTTCGTTGCAATTTTTTTTATTTCTGACTCATGGTTAAGGTTAGAATGAATATTTCAACGAAAATTATGAAATGCTAAGCGATCTGATTGGTTGGTTCAAGGCCATTTGAACTTGGTGCCTATCATATATTGTTACCAGAAATCCGATAGCAACATTGTTATAGGTATACAAAGATAAATGCTTCATAATCATCTCCGAGGTGTATGAATTCTCACTATGAGTTAAAATGCATCTTTGTTGACAGGTGCTAGTTCCAGTCACCTTATTCAAGACTAAAGATGCGGACAGTAGTTAATCTTCGGCTTGTAGTATTAAGTCGAAAGATGACGCAATGAAATATATATGTGCATATACATAGTGGAAACTTCGTCATGTAGGCAGAGAAATGATCATGCTGAAAAAAACGAATCGAATGGAGATGCATCACACTGATATGGCGTAATCACTTCTAATTCCTTGAGTTTCAAGGATAAAAGTTTTGGAAGTGATGGTGTTGTTCTTTACAGAATAGAATTTCATGCCTGATATTCAACCTTCCATTTATCTCAGGCCTATCATCATCAGCTAGGAGAGCTTGAAGAGTTAACTGGTCAACAATCTAGCCCACAACTTCCGAATACCACTGATACACCAGCGTACGTTATGTAACGTTGTGTTAAATAATAATATTTCTCGAAGGGGTTAGCGCAGAGCATTGAGGCACAATAATTTGCTGTTGTAATACCTATGAGTAAACAGTAAAATAGATTTATTGTTGTTACAGTGAGTTGAGTATCTACATGTTCTCCAATGAAGGGAGATTTCTAAATATAATTTCAGTACAGGTATTCAAGAACAGTTTACTGAAATCTTCACATGACATTCTGAAATAACAGAGAAGCTTCCGCTGAAGATGTTATCTTGAAGAATAATGAAGGTTTTACAGTTAAATCAAACCAGCTTAGAGAACACAATCAAATCATTTTTTTTCTTCACGTTCTCAGTGGAACATAGGGCCACAAGCTAGAGATATGAAGTTTCTGTAGCAGTGTTGGGTTGCTAGCCCCATGCCCAACCTTTCCTCTTTAACAGCATTATTTCTGGCTTAGTGAGGTAAAGGAGTGCGTCTGTGGCCGGGTATCGAACCCCAGACCGTGAGCATGGTCGGTGAGCGTCCCAACCGCTGTGCCACCGACTCAATCCAATCATGATCACATGACATTCAAACGAAATGCGTGATCACAGCCACTGAGTTTTATAAGCATCCTGGAAGTGACATTCAGGGTGCTAAAAGTAAGACTGAAAGATGAATATTCTTTTCAGTAAATTCTTCTCTTCAGGGTTTTACAGCTATAAAATAAAATGTTTTTTTAAAATTATTATTCGAATAATAGTCAATTATCCAGTGAATATACATTTTCCAGTAGAATAAAAAATGACTTACAAGATGGCAAGGTAATTAGTACTTGTGTAACAAACGCGCCCAACTGACTTTAAGGACTAAACAGCTGGATGTACCTGCATATCAGTGAATGGTGGTAGTGGTGGTGTTCCCGCCATAACTTGAACAAGCGCTAAACACTCGCAAATTCTAAATATTATCTACTAGTGGTACTGAGTCACAATAGCTGAAATATGGAGCATTTGTATAAATTGACCTCCGTGTTGTTGTTCGGTGTAGTCAGTAACGACTCATTACTCATGTTGACTGACAGTAGATATCTTGGTGTAGACAGGTGAACACACTGATGGTAGTAACAGGAAAGACTATTGGAATGATTAGTACAACAGCTTATGTCCAAGTCTCAAGTTGTTATTCTTCAAAACAACACACTCAGTAGTATAAAGTGTTGATTTGAATGAATTTGATTGATTACGGGATCCATCATGAGGTGATGTCAATTAGAGAACCATTGAGAAAAAAAGCAGAGTACAGGACATCTGTTTAGTCCTATTTCGGGACTCCTCAGTAGTGCGCACCCTTCGGGGTTGGAATCCTATACAGGAAGTCACTTGGGATTCTAGTAAGAAGTCGTAACTAGCGGGGTCCATCAAGTGAGGAACGCGAACAGTTACTCTCCTGTAAGACTGGATGGCAGGTGGGCTAAATATATGTACATATATGTGTCGTGAATTAGCAGAAGTTGGAATTCATGAACCATTGGGTCGGGTCTCGGTGGCTGTGAACGGTCTACGAGTCATTTCGTAACTTGAAGGCCCTGGGTTCGAGCCCAAGTGGGTGCATACTGCTTAAGATGAAACAGCTGTCCAGTACTCCGTTGCTCGCCAATAGTCAGCGCATGATCAGTCCTGTTACACTTAACAGTAAACAGGAGTGGAATAGTAGAAAAAATAAAGCGTAAAATAAGTGTGGAAATTTCATGCTTAGACAGCGAAATCCTTCGAGTAGTAATATCTAGATGACTACACATTTTGGTCAGTATCAACTTCATTCTACCATCTGAGAGAGAGAATGATAGGGAAAAATCTCACAGATTAATTTCAGTAACTGATTTGACGACTTTTTTTTGATACACTCTACAGAGATGTAGTCTTATTCAAATGAATACAGCAACTTTATAAATAAAAACTGAATTGATTAACGAAAGAAAGTGTTGCGACTTTTACTTTTCTTATTCAGTAAGCAAAAAACAAGAAAAAAAAACAATCCACTAATTAGAAATAAACTTTGAGAATAACACGCAACGGAAATCACGAACTACGTGTGTCAGACTGTAATTCACACGAATTTTCTCTGTTGTTAGTATTATTATTATTTTTATCTTAGCATAGGAATAAAACAACTAATTAGCACGGGAAATTAATCAACAAATTACGATTTTAGATGTAGGCAGCTGTTATTATTAATAATTTTCTTAGGGCTTCAGCTGCACAACACTAAAAATTCACTCGGTTGTCTTCAACCTTTTTAATGTGGCTACACGATGCTACCCAGGTCAGTGAAAGAAGTAACTTCCTTTGAATGTTTCCTGTTGATAGGCGCTAGTTGTTTTTGTTGATTGTAACAGTCGAATACCTTCGTCACCCTTGTCTTCTCCATGTTCACTTGAATTCCTGCTTTCGTTACCTTTTCCGCCAACTGCTTAAATTTCGCCCGTAGATTCACGAGTTTATGCAATACTGTGCACAAACCATAATGCAAAGTTCAGATCTTCTACAGTCTTTCCGACGGTTCAAAGTTTGCTCGTTTTCTCGCTTACTGGCATGCACAAAAATTTTTTAATTATTTATTTAATTACAGGATTTCATCATAAGCTGACATCAATTAAAGAACCATTGAAAAACCTGCCAGGGAGTACTGAACAGCTGTTTCGTCCTAGTTTGGGACTCTTCAGCAGTATGCTAGGGGTCGCGCTATGTCGTTAATCGGCAGAAGTTAGAATGGATCAGGTCCCAGTGGCTTAGTGGAATATGAGCTCGCTGGCCTTGTAACCAGAAAGTCATGGGTTCGAACCCCAGTGGGTGCTGAGGAGCCCCAAACTAGGAAGAAACAGCTGTCTAGTACTCCCAGGTTTTCCAATGGTTCTCTAACTGATGTCAGCTCATGACAATACCCTGTAAGAAATCAAACCCCAACAAACCAACACTTTAAAAAATTTGTTTTTTTTTTATTATAGCTTGAAACCACACAATATTTTAGGTACAAGTATGGAATTTTCAGCATGCGATATTGGTAGCCTAAATTTTGCAGGCCGACCATTGATATCAGGTGTGCGTAAACAAAGGGATCGAACTCAGGACCATGTGCATAGTTGACGAGACTGCTAACCTCTGTGCCACCAACGCAGAAGATAAACGAGTACACATATGTGTGATTTGGAATTTATCATCAGTAGTATATTTGCATAACAAAGAAATATGTAAGAACTTACTAAATGTCGACATTTCATGCATAATTTCATTTCACTGTACAATCCTTCCGCTTCAAAACGTCGAATTTGAAATGCTCGAGATATGCTTGCAACCATTTGATCACGTAGTTGTGTGCTAAGGTCTCTACATCGATAAAAACAATGAAAACAATATATATATATATATATATATACCAGTATCGGCATTGGAATAATATGGAAATTTTAAAACTTGTTATGGTGGCCTAATATATTTGTACGTTGAAGTTTCTGTAGCAATTAAGTTAAGTTTTGGGGGTGGAGTTGCTAGTACCACGCCCCAACTCTCCCTCTTTATCCGGGTTTAGGATCGGCTAGAAAACTAGCGACCTAGTAATCTAGGCGTTGAAACAGTATGGACTAACATGGATGGAGGTGAAAAGTACAGCAGAAGGAAGACAGAAGTGGCAAGTGGAGACGTGCAGTTGAAGCCCTATGTTCCACTAGGAACCCAAGGGAACAATAATAATAATGTGGTGGCCTAAGATGTGGTTTACTTAATGATGCTTATCAGTGGAATCAGGAATATAGGCCATGAAACCTATCGCACAACAGGAAAAATTGATAACTGATGCTCACTTAATAAACCATTACTCGCATGAATCAGTCCTAATAAAGTGATTGCTGACGAAGTCTCAGAAAGGATAGAAAAAGGCTCACGTGGTGTTTGACAACTAACGAGTGGACATGATATCCAGTTATCGGTTAAATGCTAATTATACTTCGTAGGAGTTCGCTCTGTCCTTCTTTACGGTTGTGAGATATGGCCATTGAAAGTGAGAGATATGGCGAGGCTATTTGGTTTTGGTTATATTTCCCATATTATGTTTTCACGTATGACCAGTTATACTGAAGTAAGACGAAAAAGATTAGGTCAAGAGGGTAATTTAATTGACCAGTTTGTGAAACTATATCGGTTGACGTGCCTGAGACATATTTTGAGCAAACTAAGCCATCGCCCGTGTTGACGAGCAGTCAGTTAGGGATGGTGGAACCAAGACCTGGCGTAAGTTCAAGAATCGCTTGAATGTTGGTTTGAGCTACTTAAGCAGGGGCGAAAGCTGTCTGGCTGAGGTCTTTAGGGTGCGTAAAATCAATTACTGAAGACAACAGATGATATGGCTTAAAATCGTTCTCAATGGTGCAGAGATGCGTTCACTTTTAAGGATATCATTATTATTGTATCCTTCAATTCCAAGAGGAACATAGGGCTTCAGCTGCGCGTCTCCATTGCCTTCAGTTCTCTGCCAACTTTTTCACCATGCTCTATGTCTGCCTACATGCTTTCATCTCCCCTTCACATGACGTCCTCCAAGTCACCTTGGTAGTGACGACCAACTCGCCGCTTCCCTTTCGGGTTCCACTCGAGCGATGGCTTGTCTAGTGATGTCACTCACTTTATGGTTTCTCCAGCGTATGGCCTCCAATCCATCTCCGTTTGTTCCTGCCTATTTGCTGCACAATCGGTTCCTGCTGTGTTGGTTCGCTCATTGCTAGAGATCCCTGTTGCTTATATTTTCTGGCCATCTGATTTTAAGTATTGAGCGAAGGCGACTGTTGATGAAAGTCTGTAGTTTGCTTGAGGGGCTTTTATGTCGCGCTAAGTCTCTGATCCGTATAGTAGCACTAACTGAATTCATATTGGAGTTGAAAATCCGGATCTTATTTTTGATGCTGAGTGGGGCTGTTGACCTCCACACAGAGTTGAGAGTAATGAAAGCTTGTCTTGCTTTTCCAATTCTGGCTTTGATATCCTCGTCAGTTCCGTCCGCCTGTAGTTGAAACGATGCTTCCCCGGTAGGTAGGTAGGTAGGTATGGGAGATTGTTTCTTTCAGGTTCCTCCCATTTACGCTGGCTTATTGTTGTCTGTTGTTGTTGCTGCTATTGCTGTTAGCCGGGAATCTTCATCACCTCTGTTTCCTCTATGTTCACCTGAAGTGAAGACCTATCTTTAATGCTTCTTCTATCGCCAACTTGTAGCCTTTCACTTGCATATCTTCCAGTTTGTGGGAAATCAGACATATATCATCGGCGAAGTCCAGATCCTGCAAGTTTTTTGTGTGAGTCCATTTTATGCGTGTTTCCTCATTGCCCGTTGTCTGTCTCAATATCCAATTTAGTGCAATCAGGAAAATCATTGGCGATAGTAGACAGCCTTGCCTCACTCTCGTCCTCACTTCGAAAGCTTTCGTAAGTTTCCCGTTTTGGATTACTTGGCATGCAGCATTGTCGTATAACTGTTGGACGAGATGTATAATTGTCGATGGCATCCCATAGTAGCGATCACATATTCACAAAACCATCACGTTTTCCCGTGTTACTATTATTCCTCCCTCGCAGAGTTATTGTAAATCTTGTTTTTTCTCTTTTGTTCGTATTTTTGTGTTACATGAAGTATGGAAACTTGAATTATTGTACTTTTGTCCTAAGTTCTATACTGAAACTCCTCAGTTAGCTAGTGCAGACAATAGGCTGCTACTGGATCAACCTCCTGAAGCTTTAATGGGAAGTTGTGGTAAGTGGAGTCCATCATGTCAAGGGGAAGTGAATGACAACCACCGATAGCACTGGTTGTCAGTTTCTCTATCTCACAAATTGACAAGGCTGGAATTCATGGGTCATTGAACTCCACCCTCCAAGTGACTTAATGATCGACCACCTCAACTAGTAACCTGGAAGACCTGAGTTCGATCCCTGGTGGTGTCACCGATGTGAAATGCTGAAAAGTCTCAAACTGTGACGAAATGTATCTAACCTGTTTTAGTTCATGGTAATATCAACATTGAGGCTAAAAGCAATGCCGATGGAGTTATCTAATGTAGTACTGGTGAAGTATTCAAAAGCAGATGTTGAAGCTTAATAGACACCAAAGATTTGTGTTGTTGAAAAGATGTGTTCGTTTCTATTCATTAACTCAGTCAACTTATTGACTAATTCATTGTGAAAAATTTAAGCTATAAACCACTATGCATCAAAAATATAACCGGTTGCTTGTCAGTTATGAGTAGTATATTGTCAAGAGAATAAAAATATCAACTACTTTTGACATTTAATTGGTGTATGGTGACTAGCAGTGGAATCCAGGATAAAGCACATTTCGTCCTGTTTGGGACTCGTCAGCTGGAGATACCAGCATTCCCCAGTCAGTCAGTGACGATGTTCCCACCGAGAGTCGAACCCAGTGCCCATAGTTTCAAACGCCAAAGCGTTATCCGCTAGACCACTTGGGCCACGACAGCCAGTCACCTCTTGTGCAACGGGTCAACAAAAAGCCGACATGTCGACCTGAGACCGAGCACTTCAGTCCAATCAATCGATGAGGAAATCTAAAGTTCAGTTGAATACTTTCGACATTGATTGCATGGTATGAAATTCAAATACAGTATTTAATAAAAGTGTTGTATTTACATAATTTTATGTATGCTTGAAGACATGAGACAAACAAACAAATTAATAATGATAATAATAACAGCAACAAAAATAATACTCATAAAAAAATTACCCATCTTCGTTTGCATATCGATGCATAAATGCTAGAAGATCTGCAGCACGACCACTACCATCACAGACAACAACTGGTACTGGATGACGACCTGTGACTAATTCAAATACTGTACGAAATGTTTGAGTTCCACCTTCAAGCAGTACACCGACAATTGGTACACGGGATTTAGATCCTCCTAGTAGTGTAGAATAATACAAAAAAAGGGAATAAAAATGTTGAGATATCTTCTTGGGTAGGAAGAAAAAGAAAACTAACGGCGCAGAATTCAAAAATCACTCTATTGCAAAGATTCGATGCTTAAAACTGTCGTATAGATATATCCTAAACACCTACTCCTAGACATTGGAATTGCAACAAGCAAGATAACAGAGGAAGTTACGTATATCAAATTACTATGTCGAAGATTAGAACTGCGTGAGGCTATTAGGAAACTAACCATTATGTTAAATGAAATGTTTAGTAAACGAAGAGGACTACAAAGTGCTAGCTAGAGGAGCTCCTTTTAGGAACCAGGAAGCACGCAAATTAAAAATTAATAGCAGTAAAAAAAGGCGAAACTGACAATAAAGCTTTACCAACTATCAATACAGAAAAGTGTTATGATCAATCTTCTCAGCTATTAAATTAGGCTAGAGTGATAAAAATGTGCTCCAGAAAAGATTGAACTTCAGTGTTGTGGCAGTCAGTGATTCAAATGAATTCCAAAGATTTCATTCCTCGCATAGATGAGTCAGTGCCTTCCCCTGCAAACAGACAGCAAGTCACAGTACGCAACATATAAAATTCCATCCTAACATTGATTGTAGATTACACAAATTGAAAAAAGATCAGCAGAATTTATATGACACTTTACGATACTTGTCAAATACACCATAGGTATTCAGAGGCAAAGCTCTAATCTCTACAGCATAAATTGGTTCCTTATTTTACTCATGTTCCAAAAAACCAACTTTTTGATGTCCTTATTTAAACATTGTTCTCGTTTAAGACATAACACTTAGCACAAGAAACAGGATTTGAATTTTTCACGGTGATCTCAATTCGGTGCTCTATGTGATTTAGAGTCTACACTCGATACTGAAATATCAGATGGTCGTCCAAAAAAATTGCGAGCCATCAAACCCTCGAGTCGATGTTGAATGAGAAACAAGACGTTATACTTCCGAGGGTGATATGAAGAAGATCGTTCGTTTGAGCTGGATATGTAAAAGTATGGGTGTAGAGGCATGTGCCCAGTTGAAAGTTATGCCAGAGTACCAAGTATGACAGAAATGTGTCACTGAAGTCCGTCTCTTAAACTGGGAATACAAGGAACTAACAGAAAGAAGAAGATGACAAAACAATGTGGATGGTCAAAGATAACTAATTGTCTTTCTCGCTGGTTATTTATTTATTTATACCATACTATACTGCTTGATTAAGTATGCAAGTTAAATCAAATTTAGAAATGAACGCGCTTATCACAATTTATGCATTATTCAGACACATAAACAAATGATCACTAACTAAGTCTCTAAAGAGAATAAAGAAGGATTAACAATCAGGAATCAAAATGTACAAAATAAAACTGGTAATGATTATCATATTAAATTATATGCACACAATCCTTTTAATAATTAATACAGACTAATTCCGAGAATTACTGAACAGGAATAAACCAGTGAGAAGAAAACGGTTGGAATTACTTTAATATTTGAAAAATATATCTATCTAATTTTTATTTGGTATTGTAGAAGTTAATCTGCATTTCCCGTTGGTTGATTATGTTCTACGAAAATGCTCAGTCCTTGTTGACATATCGGTACCATATAGGGATGTTTCGACGATGTCTAGGGATTATTGTGAATTTATTTCGGTTGATAGTGACTAGTAGTGGAATCCAGGTTGTGCATTTCGTCCTGTTTGGGACTCGTCAGAAATATTTATCTGCATCAGTAGTGAGAGATGTTTTACTACTGAAACTCGAACCCAAAACTCAGCTTTTCAAACGTCAAATCATTGTCCACTAGGCTACAAGTCACGCTTCATGTGCAATATTTATCTGCTACTATTGTTTAAGTAAACTTGCATTGCACCTGTGGCCTTCGAGGCCTGACATATAACGTCTGGCGTTCGAAACGATGAGTGCTGGGTTCGGGTGTCATTGGGAAGGCCATCATTCACTGGAAATGCAAGTACAACCAGATGAAGAGCCCCAAATAGGTTGAAATGTGGATCCTCGATTCCACCACTAACCACCATTGAGCAAAATGTTTAACTTTTGTCTAATTTAATATTTCCAAGGCTTCATGATGATTCTAAAACGAGTTTAATAAAATTAAAAATTCATGGTCTACTTCGAGATGGATCCCGAGAACACCGAGGTGACTAATGCAATGAGCCACTGTCCTCCCTGAAGAGCTGAACTGAAGTACTACAAAGTTGAAGGAAAAAAAGTTAAGGATGATCTGATTGAAGCGTATCATCCATTCAATAAAGACATTGACTATTGGTTTGAGTATCAGTGTAAGATGTAAGTGGTTTAACCGGGTTCTTAGAGATGTTAACAGTGCGTTTGGAACATGGCACAAAGTCATTTGCAGTCCAATAGACATGTCCACTCTTTGCAACCATCCAAATGCTGGAAATCTTCACTTATCTTCAATAAGCTGTTCTCTCTTTCATTTATAAGTGTCCACTGTAGTTTCAATACATTCCCTCTCCGTTTCTCTCTGGGATGTCGTGTGTACTTTTCTATGCTGATAAGGTATTCATTCAATCAACCAGTAGACTGATTGTTATACGCTAACAGAGCATGAGAACCTAACAAGTGAGTGAGATGAACTCAATGCATATAACTGCTTTTGATAAAATCAACTAAACTTATGCATTATATAGGAAATCTTATACATTTAATTGAATTTTAGCTTTTTCCGTCAATTGATTGGACCGACGTGCTCTGTCTCAGGTTGACATGTCGGCTTCTTATGCAGATGATTCGACGATGCCTGGGGATGTAATTAGAAGTTAATTGGTGGCTGATGACTAGCAGTGGGATCCACAGGAAAATCTGAGATTCAAATAAATAATTAATATGACCCGTTGCACAAGAGGTGGCTGGCTCTCATGGCCCAAATGGTCTAGTGGATAACGCTTTGGTGTTTAAAACTATGGTCACTAGGTTCGAGCCTCAGTGGGAACATCATCACTCACTGACTGGGGAATGCAGGCACATCTAGCTGACCGACGATTCCAAAACAAGATGAAATGCGCTTTATCTTGGATTCCACTACTAGTCACTATCCACCAACTAAATCTTATACACTGTTACGTCTTCTTAGAAATTTATCCTAGGGTAGTGTGTAGTTAAACTATTAGTTTGTTTTCATTAGGTAATGAAAGCGCGAAGTGTTAAGCAACCAGGTACCGTATAAAATTTAAGCCTTTTATTTATAACCAAAAAACAAACAGCAAACACGTTTGATTCAAGCAATAAAACAAATTGGTACAAGTAAACTAATCTCACACGATGTTAAGATGCTTGCCAATCAAAGCATTAGGTGAAAATGTCAAGCTGATGATTGATGAATATACGTGATAAAATTCTATCGAATTTATCAACTTAGAAGTGATTTGGAGTGGAATATGATTGACAAATTAAAATTAAGTAACTCTGGAATTCTTAGACAAAACTACTACTACCACTACTACCACTCAGTCCAATTTATTCACATAGGTGGTAGAACTGTCGCTTTATGGTTCACGAGTTCGACTTCCACTACTAGACCATTGGTTAGAAGTCAGATCCATGGAATAACATCATCCCTTACTGAACAGAAAAGTTGTGATTCAATGGTAACTGCTTGAAAAAGCAAGTTAAATGAATGATGACGTTAATATTAATATTATTGTTCCCTTGGGTTCCTAGTGGAACATAGGGCTTCAACTTCACGTCCCCACTTGCTTCTGTCTTCCTTCTGCTGTACTTTGCACCTGCATCTATGTTAGTCCATACTCTTTGAACTCCTCTTCACATGATCTCCTCCATGTCACCCCCTTGCACTGACGTCCCACTCGCCGCTTTCCTTTTGGGTTCCACTCGAGCAATGGCCTGACTCGCAATGTCACCCAGCGGCCTCCTCAGCCACGAGTGTCCAATCCATCTCAGTCCACTTTCTCCTGCATATTTGTTGGCCGCCGATTGCTTCTTGTTTTGTTTGTTCCCAGCCATAGTTTCTTGTTGGTGATTCTTTCCGGCCCGGCCCGGCCATCTGATCTTCAGTATAGAGCCAGGAAGACAGTTGTTGGTTGATATAGGTCTGCAACAGGCTGTTCGAAATATTCTTTGTGACCACCCCCGCCAAGTTTCTCATCCGTATAGAAGAACTGACTGGCTTGACGTTGTTTGTATTGAAAATCCGACCGAATTTTGTTGTTGATGCTGGCTGAGTGACGAAGATTTCCAGATTGTTTTCAGGTTGGTTGATGAATGTGTTTGTCGCCTTCCCGATTCTCGCTCGATTTGACATTCTCGCCCGTTCCGACTTCCTGTAGTTGAGACAATGCTCCCTAGATAAGTGAGTGGATAACCTCGTTCAAATCCCTTCCGTTGATGGTGATTGGCGCTGGGTGTTGCTGTTGTCGTCGCCGGCTGCTTCTTCGACCAGTTTGTCGGTTTTCGCTCGCTTCGAAGTCTTCAATTTTGTGTGACATCAAGCATAAATCATCCACGCGCGAAATCCAGGTCTTCTAGGTTCTTCGCTTCTGTCGGTCCAGGATATCCCTGTCTTCTCGTTTCCCACTCTCATTCTGACGCATAATCCAGTCAGTCCACCACAATTAGAAATATCATCGTGGGTGATAATAAGCACCCTTGCCTGACTCCTGTGTTTATTGCAAACGCCCCGCTGAGCTTTCCGTTGTGGATCTTTTGACATGTGCCACCGTTGTCGTACAGCGTGTTGAATAAGGTTGATGAATATTTGGGGCACCGTACACCGTAGTACTCGAGTAGTTTACAAATTACTTTGCGGTCAACACTGTCTGTCGAAGGCCTTCTAAAAGTCTATAAAGTTGAGGTAGAGGTTTGATTGCCATTCCATGCTTTGTTCGTGTGATGATGATGTGTAGAGTTGCAATTTGTTCAGAACATGATTTGCCTTTCCTGAATCCAGCTTGTTGTGGCAGGAGTTGTGT